TCAATCTTGAAGTCAGCCGTGGCCCAGTGGAATCGAGCACAGACACCGAAAGCATCACACCTCAACAGTTCTTGATCGAATCCCAAATCAGCTACATTAAAAAAAAGACACAACTGTGAAAGCTCCCACTGCCTGATGTTTATTTTTCGATTTATTTTTAGAAATCAATTAAATATATGTGTAAAAAGAAGAAGTAAATTCCATGTGATTTTCACATAAACTTTACTTCGATTGAATTGTGACACATATATTATATTGTGGTGAAAAGTAAAGCTTATGCTTATGGGTTTTAAATCCATTCAATTATTATAATTTGACCGATTTTCATTTATCATATGACGATAATATAAAAGTTACCAAAATATCAGCATTGTTAATGCATCAGATATTCATATAGAATTTACCTGACAGATTTTCAATCATATCATTTTTATTGAATTATCTTATAGCGCAAATTTATTAGATTTCCACATAACAGGAATATGTCATATTGGTTCAGTGTGAGTTTCTGCTGCCAGCAGTGATGGAAGTTTCGGTTCAAGTTTGTGTATACAGCAAAAGTCTTGAAGCTCAAACTCACCACAGTTTGGTGAGAATTGTAGCTGGTGAGTTTTGTTAGCATGATATCAGAGCTACCGTATCACAGCTTGAAATATCATCCACTGTTGTTTGCTTGTTGATTTTTGTTTACGATAATCGAATAAGATTATGCTCATTGGTGATATTTGATCATTTGATATTTTCTCAAAACTTGTCGTTAGTCTACACACTTAGAAAAAATCGTGTAAATTTAGGTGCTCTGAGACTAAAATATACGAGCGTCAGTTTTAACATAACATTGAGTCATAACAGACGTGAAATTCAGCTTAATCAACGTACTTTTCGTCGAATAATGAACTTTTCATTCTCACAGCACTTAGTATTACATGACATGTTCGTTTACGTTTCATCATTTATGTGAAATATGGATTCAGTCACGTGTAAAATTAGTTAATATGCTAATATGCTGGCCAGTCCGAAGAAGAAGTATTACCAACCGGTGGAAACTAACGATTTTAAATTGGCTCACTACTTGACTAGCCAATTGGTTCCAAGCAAATCGATTAACGTACCCCATACTAGTCAAAATTCTAGTACTACACAATGTTTGTTTTGATTCGCTATGAAAGTTTGACAGATAAAATGAGGGGTTCGTGGATTTTCCTATGTTTCGAGGGGTGCATCGATTAGCTTGGGACCGAAGAGAGTACCAGAGCTGAGCCAAGAAGTTGAGCACGTTTCTTTGGGATCTTCTAGTCTTAGAGTTACCTCAGTGCGTTGGGGCAACACTGGTAGCAGTAGCGTAGCTAGAGTAGAGTGAGGTTACTCCAGAACAGGGTATTTGGTATTGCTAAAGTGATGTGCTTAAGAGACTTTACGAGAGAATTCGCAGAACATCAGAAGTCATTCCGGAAGGCTCCAAGCGCATTGAGTGCGAGTTACAGTGCCTGTCTTTTAACGCTAGTTACAGGATTATCAAAAAAAAATATCAAATTAGTTTTGTAGATACGAAGCTTTCAAAACGATCCATATTAACATTAAAGGGTACGCTTACTTTGAAGGGTGATGTACAGCATTCCAAAATCAGCTTTAGAAATATTCGATAGCTAGAATAACATTTCCATGGAATAAGTATGAGGAGCTCCAAAGATCTCAAAAATATTTCTCAGATAACAGGATTTCTTTTATTATTATTACTATAAGGGCCTGCCTTTTTTAATATTTCAAAATCATCTTTTTTATCCATTTGTATTTTAGATATACTCTTTTGTTTTATTACCTTTTCCAAAGGTAACTGATGCTCATTTTGCTATAAAAAAAATGTTGTTCGTAGCATGGAAACATCATTACGCAGCATGAGATCCGATAATTTGTTTTTATATTGGGGGCATAATACCACCGCGACCATTAATTTGATCTATTTTGGTGAATCCTTTTTTTATGTATGCCATAACGTAGTGGTAATCCATCAAATTAGTTTTATTTGTTCAGTGCCCCAGTGCCCACGTCAAATGACGAATCGATCGGACGCGACCTTCTCCGATTTCCATGTTTTTTTTTTTTTCATAATTGTTTGTTTTGGTCAATATAGCTTCATACTACATACACACTTAGAAATAACTAATTTTACACGTGACGCAATCCATCTTTGACATAACGGATCAGACGTAAACAAATATTTCGTGTAAAATTAAGTGCTCCGAGACTGAAAAGTTTGTTACTCGACGAATAGTACGTTTGATTGAGTTGAATTTCGCGTCTGTTATGACTCAATTTTATGTCAAAATTGACGCTCGTATATGTCAGTCTTAGAGCACCTAAATATACAGTATTTTTTCTAAGTGTGTACATACGGTACGGTACTTTCAATATTAAACAAAATTTTGGCTCACTTCCAAAAAGTATAATTTTCCACTTTATATTATGAAATTAGTTCAAAATTATTTAACTGACAGAACTCTGCAGGTAAATTATCAAAATTCCAAATCTAATCGACTACCTGTTAGAGCAAAAGTTCCTCAGGGTAACATTTTTGGGCCTATATTGTATAACATTTTCACTTCGGACCTCCCTGATTTGCCTCAGGGTTGCCAGAAATCTTTAATCGCAGGCAGGCATTTCCGCTAAAGGAAGAAGTCTTCGTGTTATTTACAGCAGACTGCAGAAAAGTTTAGATATTTTCTCTTCTTATTAACAAAAATAGAAGATTTCTCCCAACGCTTCCAAAACTCAACTTATAATATTTCCACATAAGCCTAGAGCTTCCTTTTTGAAACCTAGTAGTAGTCACATAGTCACTATGAACGGAATTCCAATTTCCTGGTCAAACCAAGTGAAATATCTTGGATAAATACTTGACCAAAAATTAACTTTTAATGATCACATTGAGGGCATTCAATCCAAATGTAACAAATATATAAAATGTTTGTATTCTCTTTTTAACAGGAAATCCAAACTTTGCCTGACGAATAAGCATCTAATATTTAAACAAGTTTTTAGACCGGCCATGCTTTACGCTGCGCCAATATGGTCTAATTGTTGCACTACCAGGAAAAAAGCACTTCAAAGGATTCAGAACAAAGTTTTTAATTAATCAAATTATTAAGTCAAAATCGTCACGTGCCAAACAATATATTTTATTTTTGTGGCAGTAAGCTACAGCACATTTTTAAAACAATACAGTAAATTTTGCTTGGCTTAATTAAAATTAATCTCGAATAAAAATGGACAGTCACCTCATATTGGTCTGTTCGGGAAATTAATTATTGTTTTCGATTCACACCTTGACCGTTCTTCGATGAATTGAATTCAATTCGTTAATGAACGAGAATGTGGGTAGTGCAATAGAGTAAAGAAGGGTGGAATATGAAATTAATTAATATTAAACGTGAATGTCGCGACGCTTTGGAACAAATGAACATTATGGTCGTTCGTGTTCCGAAAAATTCCGTAGTTCCTACGCTTCCAAATTGTTCTATAGAAATAAATAAGTTTTAGCTTTAGCTGTTGGGGTACTGTATCAACGATGATATTAAATTACCATCCAAAGCACCGTAATTGTTGTTGCAATATCGCATAAATCTGCTTCTTGTAAGCAGGATTGGAAACAAAGAATGACCCAAGTAACAGTTCTGGTTTTATCGTAGTCTTGTAGATAATGCTTTAGACGCTTAAGTCTTCGATAAAACTTTAGAAAGAGGTTCCTTGAAACATGAACCACCCTATTGCACATCCTTTTGATAGAAGCACCCTCCGCGAGCGTAAAAAATCCTTATGCTCATTAGGAAAAGCCACCAGCGCGAGGTCACAGGCAAAAGCTGTGTAATTGTGAACGTATTTTTTCAGCTTTGAATTTCATCATTGTCTGCGGATGGCGCACTGTCGGACGTAAACTTAAATGGAAACAGAAGAGAAAAGGAAAGCCCTGACAGTCACCACTGGGTGTAAATATGCTTATACCGTCGTATTTCTCATACCAAACTGCAAATGGCCACGATGGCGACAAACGGGAACTAGACTGGAGGAGATTGTGCATTGTATCTTCAATAATAAGAATGGAAGAAGATATTGTCAACGAAGCGTTTCTTCGATAGGAATGGGAAGATTAAAGGACGCCAGTAAGGAAAATATAGTTTTCGGTAATAGAGTTACAGAACTGCATTAGAAACTCATTTTGGAATGGGAGTCTATTTCATTGCCGCTGGCGATGGCTTTTACAATATCCGCTGCTAGCAATTATGTTGAACAAGATAGGAAGAAGATAATCTCATCTACAAAGTTTCCATCATAAGATCACTTTCAGAAAGCATAACCATGTTATTGGGAATATAAAACTATATTACAGCTAAATGAATGAACGTTTTTGACACATTAAATAAACACAATCAACCATTTCATCACTCTCATCGGGTCCGAGGTTCAAATTTCACAATCAAATCCGTACCCTGATGTGGCGCACAATGCAAAATAATTCACTCAATTGTGCACTTAAAATGTCACCCACACACCAACTCGTTGCAAAATACTACCCACAACGAAAGCACAGCATTTTGCCGCATTTGAACAAAAGCCAAAATCACCATAATATTTTCTCATTATGTTGCGCTTTGCTTCGTACATTCACCAACATTTCACCGCAAAAGAAGAACCGCTATCACAATGATTCTTCCTACTGGTGTCATTTTTTTCTTTTCGTTCAAGTAAAGTTTTCCACTCTACCGCACCCAAAGGACATCATTCTCTCTTTTTCAGTTGGGTTACAGTTGAGCCGAGACGACGCCGTGAAGTAGCATACAGTAAAGCAATAAGTAATTTCTAACGACCTTTCCCACTAAACAAGCAACTCATCTAGGACACTATACCTCATCTGAGCCTTTTTTCTCGAGTATTGTCTTCACAAGCACCACAAATCTTCAAAACCTTTTATCACACTCAAACACAACACATCCACGAGTACTTACCAAAGTGTTCATTTTTCGGTCAGCTGATTTAATTAAATCCAAAGGAAAGTAATCAACAAACGATTAGCGGGGAGCCACCAAGATGATGAGATTGAACAATTTCCTTTCCTATGGGTGTCTTGTTGATGACGATAACGATGATAATGCTATTGAGGGCACTTTTAAGGCTTTCTCTTCCTGTGAAATGTGAAAGCTTTGAAAATGTCGCAGGTTAGATCACTCGCAGACGCAGAACTTCGTTCTCGTCGAACGTCGCGCGTGCACGAAGTTTCCTATGTGAACGTTCTTTCGCTGCAACAAGTGAATGGATCTAGCCCAAAGAACAGTGAGTGAATGGTCGACTACGATAAAAGTTTGTTTACTAACAGCTCGCACGCAAAGAACGGACAGTTGCTTTTATACGGGGCAACCAACACACGGGCGCAGACCCGTAGCTACTCTCTCACTATGCTCTCCGGCTTCCTTGGGTTTGGGCTGACTTGGACTTGGGCGTACGGTGTGGCTCTCTGTGATCGCTGCAGTTGGCGGTGGCTCAATAAAATTAAAATGCGCGCCAAATAGCGATCAACAGGTGTTTAGGCGATCGGTGGATGGCGTGTGCCTCGCTCGACAGCAATTCACAACCACTTATAGATTGCAGTGCCGCACAAGGAATAAAAGAGTAAGTAGAGTTCTATAGTGTCTCCGAGTGAGCGTCCATAAAAACTGGTTCACGAATTTATTTATTACTTTACTACTCTTTGTTTGAAAAGGTCTCAAGACAATCAAGCAATTATTTGTGTGACGAATTTTTATGAATACCCTGTATTATTTTCTGGAAGTTTCTTAAAGTCCGTCTCAATAAAATGAATCTCGTAAGGACCGGGTCAGATTCAATTAATCTTGAACATCTTTTGATCTACGAAACGATACAACGGTTTTTGACTGTTTTTTGGCAGTGTTTGTACTGTAACTGACAAAATTAATAAGACAGATTTGGAAAGTACGTTAAATTTAATATAATAATTGATCAAGAGTTTCAGAGTTGAGGATTATTTTTAATGTTTTCAGTAACAGTACAAAAAACTGTCAAAATTCTGGTAGAATGTATCATTATATTTTCTGAAGGCTTTACGTAAACTACTTAAACTTTTTTTTAGAGATCACCCCCTTCCCCTGCTTGGGAAGTCGTTCGCATTCGTGCCTGGAAGCTTGTTGGACATGGATGGATTGAATGAATTGTTAGTTGGACATTTATTTCAGAAAGATTCAGAGAACTTTACAACCCCTCATAAGTGTCCTCCCCTTACTATTTATAGTTAAATGATTTTGGATTAAGTCATCTATTATTATGCTTTAAGAGAAAGTGTAATGGAAAGCTGGTAGACATAATGAACAAGACAAATATATGACAAAATGTCGAATTGTCTAAAGATCGAAAGGAGAAAAGGTCAAATGTTCAAAAGAACGAAGTGACATATGGTCGAATCAACAAATAATCAAAAGGATGAAAGGACAAAAGGACAAAAGGTCGAAAGGAGAAATGGTCAAAAGGACAAATGGTCGAAATGAAGAAAAATCGAATCATTGCAAAGTCTAATATCCATAGCAACAAAAAGTTGTCTGGCCAAAACGTCAACGTAACGAAAAATAGATTGGTGGTGAATTAGAATAACTGATTAGAATTGTAGGCAGTGCTGTCATGGAAAATTTTCAGCAGGTTACACACAAACAAATCATATGTGCGCTCCCGATCTCTTATAATCCATGCGCCTCTATTAAGGAGCGCTCATAATCTACGATATTTTTAATTCGATCTTTGAATTTGGCCCTTCTTTTATATAGTTCATTTATTTGGAAGGCTCAATCGCGTTAGCTTTGCGGAGCCGATAATTCATTGTTCACTGTGTGTAACAAAATTCACTTAATTCTATGTCTAGTAGGAGTTGGGCCGATTACTCGCGGCTTACTCGAGGTTAGAAGGGTACATTTTCGAAGGATAGGATCAGGGGAGGAGCTTGGGGTAGGGTTTCGTTGTCTCATCATAGCGTTGTCGCCAGTATGAACGGTAGTGCTGTTCTAGCTTCGTCCGGGAATTTGGCCCTTCTTCAAGGTAAAGTTTATCCGTCTTTCGATCAGCACAAAAAGCTTAAGATATAAAACAAGAACTAGCCCTTATGAAGATCGATGAATTAAAATGTTGGCGATAATAAAACTGGAATCAGCACTTTTGCTTGAGTTTAAACATAATAACAAGTTTTCAAAGATCTTTAAAATTCGGCAAAATTTTATACTTTTCTTAATTTTTTGGTGCGTCCCTGAAGCTATTGGAAATGCCTGAACTTTTAAAAATTTCATGATTTTCCCTGAAGTTAACTGAACTACCATGAAACTCTGTTTTCAAACTATAGTTAAAGCTCATGGAACTTCCCTTTAAATCTTTAAACTTCTTTGAACTTTGGACGTGCCTAATGTTTTCGATCCTTCATGTTATTCCTCATGTATTCAAGAAGGTCTCTTAACTTCTCTAACATTTCAGCATTTTTATTTTATATTTATGGAACGAAAATTTTCCAGAAATTTAGGAACATTCCTGTAATTTGAATATTTGACAATCTTTAAAGTTCCTGCTCTGAAGTTCTTTGATTATCCAGGAGGTATTCATAATATAACTGAATGACTTTGCCTGCAAATCCCTAAACATCTCTGAAGTTCTTTGGTCCTCCTTGAAGATCTCTGAACATTTCTGAAGTCTTCGGAAAATGTCGAAGATTCTTAGAAATTCTGTAAAGGTTCTTTGAAGTTATTTGAACTTCCATTAGGTTCTTTGGTCTTCCTTGGTGGTCTTGAAGCTACCCTGAGGTTTTTGTAATCCTTTTTTAGATCTTGGTACTGCCGTTAAATAAATGGAAAAATCTTAAAATTCTCTAAACTTTCCAAAAAACCTTCGAACTTTTGAAAATTTCAAAAATATGTATGAAGTTTTTAAACTACTCAAGAGTTAACTGGGCTTCCCTGACATTCCCTGAAATTCGTCGATAAAACTTGCAATGATACACGGGTAAGCTTCCCAGAAACTTTGGGCTTTCCTGGATATATTGGTACTGTGCCCATATACTATCTTTGAGGTTCCCTGAAGATCTCAATGACTTGTATCGCTAAGGATCTAGCAGCATCTTTATTGTCAATACATTTTTTTTAAAAGTTGATTGAGTAATGTTACTCCAGTTTTTGCTGTGTTAACCAAAATGAGATGAACTGGGGTATTAAAAAGTTACATCAAAGCAGCAAATTTTGATTTCAATTTGATCTCCAGCTTACAGCATGATTTTGCATTTCATTACTGATTTTGCATTCATGATGTTTAACTAAGTTAAGGATCCATGCATTAATAATGTCACGCTAAATCGAGGAGAAATTTAACCTCCCCCCCCCCCTCCGAGGACGTGACATAATATATGCATCAACCCTAGCAGCAGAACTTCAAATTACGTTGCTTTCATTTTCACTGCATAATGAAAGCACAATATGATATCAGACTTATGTCACGACAATTGAAATCAAAATGAGTTTTAATTATGATAGGAAGTGCAAGTTTTAATATCGATTTGCTTTAATTTTGTTAACCGACTTTAATAACTTTAGTAATTTATGTGATGGTTATGTAAAGTTTCTGCAATTTGCCAATAGTTAATATGACTTGATATTCACTAAAGTTGTCAAATTTTTTCTGAACTATATGGAACTGCCCTGAAGCTATCGCAACCAATCCTAGAAAATCTCAAATTTTCCCGTAATTTTTAAGGTTCCTTAAGCTGTCTGATGTTGTCTGAACTTCATTGAAATTCTTAAAAATTCCATGAAGTTATCAGAACTTTTTGAAAGCTCTCGAATTTTTTCTGATATCAATGGAGCATATATAAATCTCTCAAAAAATCTCGGAAGTTCTCGAAACTTAATTGAATTTCCCACAATTTTTGGTGTCTCCGAGCTTCACTCAAGTTTCCTGGACTTCGTCAGATTGTCATACTATCACTATAGCTGGGAGGTATTTTATGACTATGGAGTGTATTTGATCGAAATGGACATTGAATAATCCACCAAATCACCTCCAATACCGCACAGATTGAACAAGTTGTGCAAATTTCTGTTCAATATGATGTACGTAAATCGAGCGTCACATATCGTATAAGTTTTCTTTATAAATCGTGTAAAGTTCTGAGCTATTTTATGAAAAGTTGCAAATACTGTATACAATTGCCCATCTGTGTAAACAAAATTGCTTACAAGTTGCCCCTTACCATGAAATGAAGTACAAGTTTACTTGAATGAATTAAAATTCAGAATATTTTGTTGTACGCCCAATCGTGAAAGTTAAACGGAAGTTGAAGGAGACTGCCAAGGTGACTCAGGATGATGCAGAGTTGGCCAAATGTTGGCACACACTGGCCACTGAGACAGGTTTTGGTCATTTGCCAAATGCCAGTTGGTCAAATGCAATTTGGAAGAACTCCATTTGGTCGAATGGGTAATTTATCCAAATGCAATTTGGCCGAATACTTTTTTTTTTTGTTTATTATAGAGGTTTTAAACCAACGGGTTCATTTGCCTCTTAGGCCGAATACTGATTAGAAACAAGAAAAGAACTTCTCATGAGTAAATAATGGAATGAAAAATCTTCAACTATGTACGATTAAAATGCGGGATCAAATGTTTTCAAATCTTATGGCATGTTTCATTGGCGTTGTCAACACAATCAAAAACAGTAAAACTCCAAAAAGATGCTAATGTTTTAAGAACAAGAAGGGAAAATGTCCTATAAATATTAAATTGCAATTTCTCACCATAATTCAATAGCTTTACGCTCAAATATTCCAACCAACCAATGTTTTTTACAGAATACTAGCTGAGTGTGCCGGGCCTTGCTCGGGATTCAATAATAGCTTGAGTTTATGTACCGATTCAAAAAAGCATGCAATATTGTACGTAAGTAAACTCATATCAAGGCTCATGAATCATGAATCATGATATATTTTTTACTTACTAAGTACTCTCTAAACTATCATCCTTGAAAATATCATGTCATTTGGTATAATAGTTAAAAAGCTATTCAGTTGTTTATGTGTGTGCCATTTTTCACGAATACACTCTTTAATATATGATAACAAAGCTGCTTTATAGCTTAGAGGATTAAACATACATCAACATTGTCATTCAGGTGACAATTTGATGCTTAACAAGTGTTGTTAAATAGATTTTAATTCAGCCTTAGTTTTAATAATTGTTGTACATCTACCACGTTAACCTTTGTTCAGCTTTTAAACATATAATTCTGGTGATTTTAATCAGCCAAAAGCTTAACAGTTATATAAATCATAAGCTTTTAAATGCATTAAATAACAGTCTTCTCCAAACCTTGTACAGCTTTCTAGTTTAATTTAGAAAAAAAATAATGGAAGACCACTTCATATCTTATATATTTTATGGGACTACAA